ATATTCAATAACAACATGGAATATATACTTTGCACAATATGCTAAGATATACACAAACAGTTAATAAAGGTTAAAACCCACAAATAGTTATTATGTCTTTTACTGAGCTAGTTAAACATTGTGTGTGTGTGTATTTGTGTACAGAGGAACAGAGAGAATGTGAGTTGAATTATTTCTTCTTCTTCTTTTAGCATATGTACATCTCTTTAACTTCCTTTCCGTTCCAATGAAAAAGCAGTAGTTAAAATCTTTGAGGGGAAAACCCTTAACTGAAATAATATTTTCATATAAACTGCCACTAGCTCCGATTCTTGCCAATGCAGATATGGACAAGAACTCCTTTTCACATGCCTGAAACATGGATTTGATTATGACATTATCACAAGTTGGTGTCTACCAGTTCCTCTACAATTTTCTCCATCTCTCCTCGATTACTTATGGGTATACAGAGTATTACTTCTTGAAAGGAACAATCTGAATCTCTTATATCCTGTAAAGTAATCTTATTGCCAACATACAGTGGCAAGGAGGATTTTACTAGGGTATGTATAGTTAGTGCTTAAATTTGGATAAAAAAGAGAACTATGGGACAGAAGAGTCTAGTAGGATGGAGGCAGTTGACATTTAGCTCCTCCCCACCTTCCCCAGATATTTCTGCCTTGAGAATGACAGATATACTAAAAATCTGTATATTAGTCTATTAATATACTAAAGTGATATAACAGGTGTGCTCTGCTAAGAAGCAGCCAAATGTGAATGTATGGGTCATCTCCGACTTACGGACTTTTTTAAAAACAAAAAGTTCAAAGTTACAATATTGCTGAAATAACTCTGGTCCTTGCCCTTATGACTACTCCACAACCTCTGTGGTCACATGACTGCAATTCAGGCACTTGGCAACCGACTTGCATTTATGACCAGTTGCAATGTCCTGTAGTAATTTGTTACCTTTTTGCCCATTTCAATGAAAAAAGTGCCCATTCAGAAGAATGGGTTCACATTTATGACTGCGGGGATTACTAAATAGCTGCAGATAGGCCTAAAAATGTTAACATTGGGTTCGACTCAAGTTACAACCACAGTGACGTGACACAAATTCCGATCCTAAATTGGAGATAGGTTGAGGACTACCTTATATGTTTATAAACATATGAATTTGCAAGATTTTTCTCATTTAATAGTGAAATTATAAAAAAAAATGGTTAAGCATGATTGCTTAATTGTTTTAAAGTAAGTGTACTGCACTAATTAAATCTTGCTTTTGTGGAATATCAGATATACCAAGAGGAGTAATAAAGCTTAAAAAACGAAATGTCAAAGGAGTTCTAATTTTATAGAATGTTTATTGTTTCTAGGAGTACAGGTAGTCCTTGATTTACAACAGTTCGTTTAGTGACCATTCAAATTTACAACGGCACTGAAAAAAGTGATATGACCATTGTCACATGATCAAAATTCTGACAAGCAAAGTCAATGGAGAAGCCAAATCACTTAAAAAAGCTTAACAACTGCAGTGATTCACTTAATAACTGCTGCAAGAAAGGTTATAAAATGGGGCAAAATTCACTTAACAAATGTCTCACTTAGCAACAAAAAAATTGGGGCTCAATTGTGGTCATATAGTGAGGATTACCTGTACATATAATGTCTTCCTTGCAACTATAGCACAATTCTTCATTGTGAGGTATGAATATTTTTATAGGCATATCGTTTTTCAATGTTAAAGGAAGGAATGTATGGATATGCATGATAATTGTCCCCCTAATGTGTTAGTACTATTACTTTACCAGTACATCTGGGAATTTCAAATTGCTCTGGGCATTACGCATGCAAATTGCTAAATACTGACGGTCTCTACCCAATAAATTACATCAACACTATGGCATGGCTAGGCAGACTCAGCTGGGTTAAAACTAAGGAGAAACAAGCATTGTAATGCACTGTCTGTCCATTTATTATTTCGTGATTTCTGCAAGTAGGTTAAAAGGCTGGAAGGAAACCCGGCTTATACTTAACAAACTGACGTCAATAGATTACAGCAATCCTCTCCCCTATGCAAGCTTTTCTGCCCTAGAGCTAGTCAAACACTCAACTAATCTCCACCTGTGAAATGCCAGCCAAGACTGAGAATTAAGGCTAGAAGATAATTTCCTCAGAAAGGAGGATTTATCAAAATAACCCTAGTTAGCTACTTAGATGTTAATTGCATTTACATGGCTTTGTTTTACAACTCAAAAGCGCTCTTGTTACTTTGATGATTAAAAGGTATCAGAAAGTATCTGATTTACATGTGCGTGAATACATATGCATTTATGACAATGTACTATGTCACACAGTGTGAATAAACCATGTGCAGCATTGTTCCTGGGATTACAAAACGCCTACTTAGGATTATTTGGAACAAGCATCTTTATCTACTCCATATCTCTTGGAAAGAAACTTAGTGGCAGCACTCTTTGGTATACAAAGAAAACAGAAACCTCTGAGCAAGGAGATCGTCTTTAAAAAAGAGAGGCAGAAATCAGTTTTTCAGAGGGAGAACAATTTTAAAAATTAGTGTTCATGCCCAAGAATATCTACTTAAGATTATACAATGTCAAAGAAACCCTGCAGTCACCAGCACTGACGCAGAGTCTTCCTGAGCTACGGTAATTTCTGACTACAATCTTGAAACACAAGTCAGTACAACGTAAAGTAAAGCATAGTTGAAAGTTAGTATACATAGGATTGCTAGCTAGGGTAGATGGTGCACAGAATTTAATTAGTAATCAAGAAATTAAAACAGAGACATTCTTATTTTAAGGAATAAGATAAAACCAACCATTGTGTGCCCGCAGTGTAAATTTTCACTGCTGATGTAAAGGATGGCATCATTCAATCTGACCTTCAAAGTGACTATGGCAACTCAGCTCATTGTATTCTTATGGGAAACCTTGGCTGGATGGTGCTATTTATGCAGTGACGGGAAAAGTGGATCCTTTATGGAATGTTTCTTTTACTTAGCGCATTAAAGAGTCTTCAAATATTATTTACCATCATAATTCCAGTGCCAGAATTTTAGATAAAATTTTAGTCCCCCAACTAAAGAAGTAGTCTGCTATCCATAAAAGTTTGTTGTATTATACTTATGGTATTTTTATTGTTCCTAGAATATTTTCTTACCTTACCACATACAACAACAACAAAAACCTTCTTACTATCCTTAAGTACTTAATTAAGCCTATTAAATTATAAGAGATGTAACACAAATATGAGAAACGGTCAACTACTAATGGCTAAAGGGCAGAGGCGACTAAAATTAGACCAGTTGTTCACATATTCTTGCACTTAGTGTACTCCATTTTTATTTGCAAATAATCATTTTTCTGCTGCTAACATTAGTGACATTCAAGACAACTTTACAACTTTTGTTTTTAAGCAAATTATAAATGTTCCCTTAAAAATGTAAAGTAATAAATGCAAACAAAAAGCCTTCTCAAAAATAGATGTGTTATAGAAGAACATTAACCAAATTGCGATGACTCAGTTAAAAAAAGGAAAATTGTCTGAAAAATCAAAATTTGCTATCATACAATTGACCTAAGTAAATGCAGAATCAAAGCATCCTGAAAGTTTTGCCATGCAAGAATTTGATACAACTGTAGTTAACAGAATCCAGTAGTTAAATGCCCAGAAGTACAGAGAGAAATTATCATGACTATATTACATTAAGTTCTTAGTATTAAAGAGTAGTGCTTGATCCTCTAATTAGATGTGATCTGACAAACAGGCATACAGAGATAAACTAAAACACAAGCAGAAGAATAATGAAAAATAGGTGACAACCACTACCTCCTGAAATGCTAAAACATTTTAATATAACAGAAAGTTACCATCTAAACAGAGGTGGCGATGGGTATTTTCTGTGAGTACTGAGTGGACATGCAGAGAAAGGCCTCCCTGGGATGGTTCGACATCATGATATGTAAATTGATGGTTTTGGTTTAACATCTTAAATTAGAAACAGTGGTTTCTAATCAGCACATTTACTGTTGCCTTTCCAAGTGCAAAAGCTACAGAAACAACTTATTTCATCTGTCATCTATCTAAAACACATGTATGTTCAATTTATACTAATGTGTCTCCAGTGGACACATGGGCTTTCTTGCTTTATTCTGTTACAGGGGATTTACAAAAAGTATGATCACATCCCCTCTACTTACTAAGTTACCCTGACATTTATAATACAAACCTAGGCCTTTTTTTAGATATAAAGGTTGCAAAACCATGCAACCATTTGTCCTTTTAGCTTTGGCAGCACATAGAAAAGAATTTTTGCACAACCTTTAAATGGCATACGAAACTTTAGATTTTAATATAATTTATTTTGAGCACCCCCCCCCCCCACCTGATCTTCTTTCTCTCTTACTTTGCAGAACAAACTGTAGTGGACAAAACAAGAGTTTCAAAATCTGCACTGCTTTTCAAGTTTGCCCTCCAATTCATCCATAGTGTCATAATCTAGTGTTTAATACAGCTAGGATTGTTGCAAAGTTTTGCATTCTGCTATGTGTTTCCCTAGGATCAATTCTTTATGGAGTTTCAATTGAATTTGCTTCGAAGCAACTATGGGATGATAAACATTACCAGGAGGTAAGAAACCACTTTCAGCCCAATTTTATGCATCATTTACAGGAAAGCTGCAGAAGTGGACAATAATTGCTGTCAGGATGGCTCACCGAAGGAGCTTTTTTTTTAAAAAAATCTAGATCTGATGAACCCATCTTAGATAACAGATGAAGATATCGGAGCAGCGCTATTCTGTTGCACGCACAATTTAAGACTAGAAAGAAACCTTGTTGCGCAAAAAACTGCCGGCTTCTCCCTAAACTAAGATAGACGTACTTTTTCCTTGGTTTGGCGGGGGAAACAAAGCAAGGCACAGAAGAACTGATGGGATGGGGTGGGATGGGTGTGTGTGTCGATAGATGGAAACATGAGTGGGGGGAGGTATTTCCTACCTTATTCGAGGCCATTTCACTGACGGAGTGCCTGGTCTGCAAGGTTTCCAGCTGGTCCAGGCACCAGTCCAGCTCCTCCAGGGTCTCGCTGGCCAGTTTTTGGTAGGCCTCCTCTGCGAAGAGATAGGGAAAGGAGTACTCAGTTCGCAAGCGTTTCACGGGGCTAGCAGCAAGCTCCAGCGGGTCCATCCTGCCATACCCAGCCATGAGGGGATGCCCAGTGTCCACACATGAGTTCTGCTCCTTCATATTGCTATGCCCGAGCAAGAAGGAGAAAAGGCGGGCTCTGGTCTCCGGCGGGAATGTCGAAAAACAAAAGTCGCTCCAGCTTTTTTTCTCTCTCTTATCAACTCCAGCAACGACACTCGGCGGGCGGGCGGAGAGAGCGCTCTCTGCGGCGCTGCTCAGAGGGGGACCGAAGCGCGAGCCGGTTCCCTCTCGGAGCGCGGGTCCCTCCACTCCCGGAGCGCGTGAGGCGAGCAAGAATCGCGCCACTCGGGCGAGCTGGGACTGTGTTCTCTGGCAAAGGGGAGGCTTTAGGCGACACGCAGACGGCCAGCCGCTCTCCTCCCTGGGGCTGGAGGCAGCCAACACCTTCCTCCTCCTCCTCCGCCTCCTCTCCGTCCTCCTTCGGGCGAGCTTCAAGCCCCAATGAATCAGAGCAGCGGCTGCAGTGTGTGCGAGCCACCGCGTTTCCTGTTTGCTCAACTTCTCTGTGCGTAGCAGAGGCAGCGGCAAAGCTGAAACTCGGCTCTGAGGGAAGCGCCTCCGTTCCCCCAACCCTCCCGGTTTCCTTCCTTCCTCGCAGAGAAACCTCTTCTCTTCTCACACACCCCCCCGCACCCTGCCCTGAGAAATTTTAATTAAAGCATCAGCTCGCTCTTTCGTCCACCCCCAACTCCTTATTGTTTGGTGTTTTCTACTGAGAGGGGAGGAGAACAGCGCCGTGGCGCTTTCAGCCTTTGAACAGGCGTCGCCGAGAGTTTTGGCGAAGACGGGGTTGCGTGTGTGCAGCCGTAAAGGGGGAGGGGGGAGAGAGAGAAAACTCGGCAAGGAGTTGGGGACTTTGCTCCACTCCGCCTCCTCCCAGGGCGTTAAGACTGGCGGCTGGCTTTGCAGGACAAGCGGGGAGTTCCACCTGCGCGGAACATGAGCGAAAACCGCGGGAGGACCCTCCGCCTCGGGACCCCGGAGATCGGATAGAACTAGAACGGGGCCATAGCGCTTCGCTTCAGCACCGGGCCTCGCGTAAACGCCCCAGGCCAGAGGTCTTCAAACTTGGCAACTTGAAGACTTGTGGACCTCAACTCCCAGAATTCTCCAGCCAGCATAGCTGGCTGGAGAATTCTGGGAGTTGAGGTCCACAAGTCTTCAAGTTGCCAAGTTTGGGGACCCCTGCCTCAGGCCCTCGGCTTTAGCGCTTGCTATGAGCCATGGCCGCCTTCAAGAGCCACTGAAGCGCCAATTCTTTATACTGCTTTAATGCCTGAGATACAAAACGGTTCCTCTCCCCCCCCCCCGCCCCCAGGGCTAACCCATCTACAGCTGTAGCCGAGCGCTCGTAGTAGCAATACTGTCTGCAAGGCACTCGTGGGGAATGACTATTTAGAAGAAGACTTTTACGGGACTTTAGGGGTGCGTGAGAGGCGCAGGTATGAAATGACACCAGGTCTTTCTCACACCTTCTAGTGGCCTCCACAAAACAGCAAAAGGGCGGGTGGACATGCCTGAATTAGCCCCTTAACCAGCAGCCTAACATTCCTTGTTCCCTTTTGGCATTATCCCTGTCCCTGACTAGCACATAGCCATGGGCCTTGCTGTTCAAAGTCCAGGAACAAAGCAGTACCTCTGTAATTTATAGGGATTGCCTGTGCACAGCAGCCCTACGTTTTGAGAGCAGTCAGGATTAAGAGCTAAATCTGCATTGACCAACTGCCTCCCTTACTATTCTCCCCATTCTGGTCACTTTCTGCCCTTAACTGAACCAAGCTCACCTTTCTGGCTTTTAGAACTTCCAATGCCTTGCTTTTCTTTTATCCGCTGTGCTACTATTATCATTACTAATGATCTGGTCCAGGGCATTAAATAAGGAAAGCATTTTACCATCTTTGGATACACTCCAAAGATAAGTGCTTTTAAGGTATTGTTGACTTCAGTAAAAGAGAGGGTTAAGAACATCATTCAGTCTCTCCTAAATCAGCATGACTGATTTGTGCATAACTGGCTGGCCAGTTCCTGTAATCTTTTTCGGCTTCAGCATTACTGTGATGGAAATTATATTCACACATTATGGAGAAACAACTAAGGTCATCCAACTGAAAAATGATTAGGACTCAAAGTCTTTTATCTCTTTGGTTTGCAAATTCTTGCCTACTATACCACACCACACGCCATACAAATTTACTCCATGTTTTCCTTAGCTTATCATACATAACTGGGCATTACACTGAGTATTTGCATAATTTCAGTCTATTGTGTCAGTCTAGCCAAATAATCATCAGGAAAGACCTTTTCAAATATTGCAGCATGTTTACTTTAAACCAAATCCCTAAGGGAAAATGTGTGACTGACTTGTTCCTTGCATAGTTTGTTTTGTGAGTTGAACATCTTTTCCATTTTTTTTCTTAGAGACCTGTTTGATTCTCTCCTTTGGTCCATTAAGTCTGTCACCAGAGAAATGAAAAACCAAAATGCAACAGGCAGAACTAACCCTAAGGTAGGTATTAATTTATTGAACTTATATCCTGCTATGATATACTTGGTATGTATGAAAGATAGATAGATAGATAGATAGATAGATAGATAGATAGATAGATAGATAGATAGATAGATAGATAGATAGATAGATAGGAAATGATTAAAATGCAAACAACATAAAGAAGAAATAAAGATAATAATTACAAAAAATCCAAAGTGCAGATATGTTTTGCTGAGCCAGTAAAATACGAAATGATTTTTAAAATACATTGGATTTTGTAGACATACTGTATCTTCCCATCAGCACTATTCAAAATAGGCTTTTTGCTGTTCCAACAATATTTAAAAAAATACTAATTTGAAAAAAGGAAGGTGGTGAGAAGTCAACCAAGAGAGATTGAAAGAGGCCAATGTAATGTCAGAATTATCACTAGCAATATAGATGATTCTCCTTTAGTGACTGCCTCATTAACCAATGGTGATGAAAAAGGAACTTTGTGATCATTCCTTGCATTTCCTATGACTTTCACAGGCCTATAAAGCAAAGGAAAATGAAGAAAAATCACAAACACAATAATGGTTTTATTTATGGACTGCCTCATTTAATGATCTAGTTGCCAGCTCCAATTGTAATCACTAAATGAGGACTATTTACTGAGCTTGTGGGACGATCTAAATAATTGTGATGGGCTTAACTGCATTTTAAAATCTGAAGTGTAAAATATCTGAAAGATATTTTGTGTTTAAATTCTACTTTACTCCAATAGTTACGCTGCATTGAATGATATAGAATTAAAGTTATGAAGGTAAGGGAAGCTCTTCACACTTAAAAAGATAATTTGCAGATTTTCCTAGACAAAATGTAATGCAACTTTCTCCAAATCAGGTTATTTTTAGGGACTGCTCAATACTAGATATATTGGCACGTATTAAACCATTTCCAATGGATTTCTCTTATAATGTAGACATAATAACCAATAAAAGTTTTCAGTCCTTTTAAACAATTAGTTATCCATATTATAGATTGGTAAAGTGATATACTGTTAATGTACATGAGAGTGTGATATAAATTATAATACAGCATGAATTGCCAAACTCAGATTGATTCTTTATTATGTCTCAGAATCTTTTAATTACAACATTGTCCAAATTCTAATCTAATATGACATTCTGAGCTAGCATTTTCCTAAATTTATGAATGGAAAAAAACCATAATGTTTTCAGATGTACCACTATTCAGTAGCTGCCGGCGTTACTCTTAAAATATGAACTACTTTACTCATAAAAAACTATTTATTTGATAATTAAGGAAAAAATATGTGGATTTACTTATCCTTGGAACAGAGTCTGCAACAGAATGAAGGTAATGGCTGAGATTGTGCAGTAGACAATACTACATACTATAGGAGGCAAATGAACAATGCCTTACTGTTTCCTATGTTAAAAGCTACTCTGCAAGTGAAATATTAGTACAGACCTATATGTATTATTACTGCATTATTTTCTCATAGATGTTTATATGGGAAAGCATTTTAAAAAAATCTTGAACTTAGCAGAGTCATAATTCACTTCAATACCTACACACATATATATTTATGTGTTTGTATCTGTGTGTGGGTATGTACGTACGTATGTATGTATGTATACATACATACATACATACATACATACATACAGTACTGTGCAAAGGTTTTAGGCAGGTGTGAAAAAAATGCTGTAAACAAAGAATGCTTTCAAAAATGGAAGTTTTAAACATTTGTGTTCATAAATGAACAAAATGCAGTGAATGAACAAAAGAGAAATCTAAATCAAATCAATATTTGTCATGACCGCTATTTGCCTTCAAAACAGCAGCAATTCTTCTAGGTACATTTGCACACAGTTTTTGAAGGAACTCAGCTGGTAGGTTGTTCCAAACATCTTGGAGAACCACAGATCTTCTGTGGATGTAGGCTTTCTCACATCCTTCTGTTTCTTCATGTAATCCCAGACACACTCGATAATGTTGAGATCAGGACTCTGTGGGAGTCATGCCATCACTTCCAATACTTCTTGTTCTTCTTTACACTGAAGATAGTTCTTAATGACTTTGGCTGTATGTTTGGGATCGTTATCCTGCTGCAAAACTCATAGGGTTATCAGTGCATGTAACATAGATGTTTGTGCGGGTAAGATCACTCCTGCTGTCAAGCAAAACCAAGCATTTAA